TGTCACTCAGTCCTACAAAATTGCCAAGTGACACAACCACCACCTGGAGCTTCCCTACATTATGTCATACCACTGGGCTGTCCAACCCAAAATTACTACTCTGTAATGTCAGGAATTCCCTAGGCTTCAGGCAAGAGGGATTCTTTTCCCCTCATTCTGCTAGCTGAGAACCTTGGAGAATGGCCAGGGAAGACAGGACCTCAACCGGAACGGTGGGCATGCAAAGCAAGTGCTTTGTGTCAGCCCTCAGGTCATTCTGAAGTCTCTTTCCCCCCAACAAGGACTCACCGTGGCATCTTGTCCAGAATAGTGTTTGATGATACGAGGCCCTCCTGGATGCTGCAGATAGAACTGGCTGACATCATAAACCTTTCGGTCGATGACCAGCCATCTTTCTTCCTTGAGGTTTCCATTGCCTGTGCGGAGCCCCACCTCCTCCCAGGTGAAAAGCCGGATGAACCCTGGCTCAACTTCTGACTTTCCTGCACTGGCTCCTGACTGAGGGGGCATTCTCACTGGGGACACTTAGTCCTACTAACTCCTGGGCTGTGCTGTTTCTCCTGTGAAGAGTTGAACAACTTTGCCTCTTCCTCCGGTTAGGTGTTGCACACAACTTTATATACCACTGTAGCAACCACCCACACCGCCCTTAACCTTCTGGTGCTCCAGATATGCTCTTGTAAAGCTTCTTGATCCTCCCCCTGCTTTATTCCCCCACAGTGTTATAGGAGTTAACTCTTCTTACAGACAGTACAGACTTTTATTAGACCATAAAATTGGATAAGCAAGGATATTAATTTTAACTTTTATTAATAACAGAATAATAAACAACTATAAAAATATTTATTCTGTGTAAAAATATTTCTGTAAAAACCATGACAGCTCTCCATAGGAGTCTAGCAGGCATCATCACCAACAGTCACTTCTAGAGGGCTTCCTTTTGTAATTACCAAAAGCAGAAAAGCGGAGAATTAGGAAACCTACTCAGGGACAGAAATATTGCAGAGAATCAGCATTTCATAAGAGCTGCTTCCAAAGCTATATCTCCTTCCAGTCATGGGAATGTTCCTATCACTCACTTTTTCAAGTCACCTCTAATTTCATTCCCGATGCCAATGCATTTTCAAAATGGGAGAGACACTTATGTCAGCCTGGTTGTGAATTAAACAAAAAAGATGTAAATCAAACAGAGGAGAGCAAGCAACTTTCTGCCATCTTGAAGCTTTGTGTTATGAGTGTCTGTCCCAACCAGCATGGTCAATACCCAGGGATTAAAAGAGCTATAGTCCAAAATATCTAGAAAACTGCTAAAATGCCATGAACTTGGGTGAAGGTTGAATTTTAGATCCTGACTCTCTCCCCACCTCAAGTCCTGTTCTGCTGCCTTATTGTGGTGGTGGGGTGGGGGACTGCAATGTTTCTGGAAGGAATAGGTGAAGAATCCTGGGACTATACAAGATTATGTACTTCTACTACAGTCAACCAACCTATGAATGTCATCTCAGCTCCCCAGTTAAACAAGGAGGTACCTACACCAGGCAACAGCAATATAAGATGTTGAAGGTAAATTATCATTTAGTGACAATGACAAAGGCATCGTTTCATACTATGTAAGAGAATGGAGTTGAAAACCATTTGGATAGACCAGATAAAGTGACTAACAATATAATGCCA